TAACCCTAACCCTAACCCTAGCCCTAACCCTAGCCCTAACCCTAGCCCTAACCCTAGCCCTAACCCTAACCCAACATTAGACACATTAATCGCAGCAGAATTAATGGTGGCACCGAAGAAATGTAACTTTGCATTAGCAAGGGAGTTCACCGCTTCTCCACTGTAACTTGCTTTGAATCTGATGCTTTTCTTTCAATTGTTTAAGTACTTCTTTGAGACACTTGAAAGGAATCGGTTCTGTAATTGTCCCCGACCCACTAGCATACACCTACCCGAAGGTCCAGATGGAGCCTTGTGCCACCGCAGCGGCAAGGTTCTGTGCATGAGGGGAGTTGACGAGAATGCGTCAATTTGAGTGTCGCATGGCGATCCTGGACGAGACATGCACACACGATGGGACCACCATCGAAGTCAGGGTCCTGATGGACGTTTTGAAATGGCCTACATGCATATACGTACCGCGCCATCTGACGAGGACGCTATCGACCACCAGGTGCGTGAACCAGCGCCTGTTTGCTCCGTCCAGGTGACCCCCGCGTCGGTTGATGTATAGATGAAGCCATTATCCACCACGGCGGCAAGTTTCTGTGCATAAGGGGATGGGCAATCGACCAGGATAAGTTAGATCGAGTATTGCATGGTTACCCTGGACGATGGCATGCCACCATCAAAGACAGAAGCACGGTGCTTCTTTGTAATGGCCGACATTCATACACGTACCATGCCATCGGATGACGACGCGATCGAGGTCCAGTTACGGGCCCCAGCGGCGGATTGCGGCGTCCAGTCGACGCCCCCGTCGGTCGACGTCCCGAGTGGGCCCCCATACACCACACCGGCAAGGTTCTGTGCATGACAGGATGGGTAGGCGACCAGGATAAGTTAGATCGAGCATCGCAGGACGACGTTCGACGAGACATGCACACACGATAGGACCACCATGGGCATGGTTTATCCTCCTCTGTGATGGTCCGCATTCACACACGTACCATGCCATCCGACGAGGACGTGATCGAGTAATAGTCACGGAAACCAATGATGGTTTGCTCCGTCCAGGTGACGCCCGCGTCGGTGGAGGTATAGATGTAGTCCGGATTGACCACGGCGGCAAGGTTCTGTGGATGACGGGATGGGTAGTTGACGAGGATGCGTCAGGTCGAGCGTCCCAGAGCGACCATGCGCGATACATGCACACACGATGGGGCCACCATCGAGGACAGGGGCTTGGTGCATATTGTGTAATGGCTTGCATCCACACACGTACGATGCCATTCGATGAGGACGCGATGGCCTGCCAACTACTGGAACTAGCGTTTGTTTGCTCCGTCCAGGTGACCCCCGCGTCGGTGGAGGTATAG